TATCCAATGGGGTTTTAAGAAGTCAATTTATGATAGATTACAAATGATATTTTTTCAATTGTGTAATGCTTTTGTTTCGTTTAAAAATTAACTGTTTTTGAATTTTATTCACTTTTTTTCTAAAAAAAAACCAAAAAACCAAAATAGCTATCACTGCTGCACGTGTTTGGGTATTGGAAAGAGCATGTTTTCAAGCGATTATGATGAAAACTGGTTTAGAACGAATTGAAGAACGCAAAGCATTTCTACGAAGGTTAGTTAGTTGCTTAGTTGCTTAGTTAGTTAGTTCCGCATTATGATATGTTAGTTACATTGGCTTTTAAAAAAACATTTTCCAATCAACTACTAAAAACACAGGTTTGTGATTTAAATTCGCACAATGTTATGGTGCACAGTTTGTTTAAAATGTTTATTGACAATTTCAAACACAGTTTAAACACACAATTATTGATCTGTTGAATATATATACGATATATGTATATATTTGTTTATACTATCAACCATTTCGTTAAATCACATACATACATTGATAAATATAACTGTGGGTTTTTTTGTTTTGTTTCGTAAAACAAAACTCTATGAAGATAACCACCGTTGAACATTGAACAGTCGATTATTCTTATCAATTTTTGAATAATTTTGATTCTATCTAATGAAAGCTGAAATAAAAAGGAGTGCATATCAGTATTTCGAAGACTGATACCAGACATTATAATCAGGCTCGATTGAGTTGATGGTGGCCACTACTGTATCACTACTAGTTTCGTGATGGTCAGTGTGTAAATGTGTTCTTAGATTTCGTATGCTGCCCGTGTAGACAATCGTTATTAAATAGCACCTGATGGGTTTATAAATCAGAAGGCGAATACAAAGTGTTGAATACGTTTATTTTGGCATACCACAAATGGAGCAGCAGACCATAAGCACACGGAGCGAAGTGCAAGCAAGCTGACGAGAGAGCTAATTTGGTGAATGTATTAATAAGATTAAAAATGTACATATCTATAAATAGGGAAATGTGTGAGTCATCGAAATATTTAAGAGATTAACATTACAGCGAATAGGATGAATATTCGCGTATGTGGTAAGCGATGTTCAGACATACCAGCTTATATAAACCAGACAATAGTAAAAGCCAATAGTACATATAAGTTATTGTTATACAAATGGTTTGGTTAAATAAATTCATCAAAAGGCTTAACCAAATTAACTATGAAGGCACTCAAATGTATGTGGAGGCAGTACAAGTTGACACCCAAGCCTATATATAAGTTGTTTTTAATGGTGGTTTTTTAAGAAGTTGGGGGGGGGGATGTCAAAAACCAGTACTAATGTTTCGTCCCTAATGTGTCACTCCTTAGCAGTTGAATTTTTAATCTAACCGTAAGATATTTGGTGTACTGGTAGTAGGGGATCAGCTTAACGATCTAGACTTTGCAGATAATCTGACTCTTCTGTTTCACACACAAAGCAGAAGTAACCTCTGTATGACACTCCGTTGCATATTAGTGATAAGTAAAGTTGCGAGTAGTATGTGTACTTCACACAAGTGTAAAATACAAACACACGAAATACTAGTGCAATGGAGTAGTTGCGTTATTGACTTTATTGCGGAGTTGTTGTGAAGATTGTTAAGTTTTATTTGAAACCATGAATCGATCAATGTTAGTAGACCACCATTAGAAACCAGGAAGAAGCACTGAAAGACGGCCGTTTCGTCCTGGTATGGAACACCTCAGCGGCAGTGCGCATCCACGACTCCTGCACCCCACAGGACTCGAACCCAGGACCTTCGGTATTGTAGGCGAACGCCTAATCATCGGACCACTGAGCCGGTGTTTAACGGTGTTAATGTCTAACTCCGATCAATCCACGGAGTTGCGCAACCTCATACACTGTATACATCCGAACAGGTTTGAACTTCACTGGTCACGACTTCCCACTATAGAACTCGGAGAAGATTCCTCACCAAGCTAGTCACTAGTTAGCACATGTAATTATTGCATTGCGGGGTTGTTGTGAAGATCAGGTTAGACATTAACACCGTTAGATATCCGCCTCAGTGCTCCGATGGTTAGGCGTTCGCGCACAATACCAAAGGTCCTGGGTTCGAATCCTGCGAGGTGCAGGATTTGTGGATGCGCACTGCCACTGATGAGTAGTCCCATACCAGGACTTGACGGCCTTCTTTCAGTGCTTCTTCCAGGTTTCTAATGGTGGTCTACTAACATTGATCGATTCATGGTTTCAAATAAAATCCTTTTTATCGCTAAACTGTAATAGAAAACTTATTTTAAACATAATTGATGATAACTAGTTTTAATAATCAACTGTGTATTATTAGAAAATGTCAAAATACACAGTATTATTGTGTATTGTGTACACGCACACACACACAGAAAGAAAAAAAGTCATATTGTTGTTGAATTTGAAGTGAATGAAGTTCACACTTGTCAAAGTGAACAGTAATAAAATTTATACAAGAATGAATATCTCGAATGTACTAGTATATATGTAATTGGATATGATATGTACATAAAAAGTATGGTGTATGTTGTATAATAAATAGTAGAGTGAAATATCCAATAATGAATGCGGGATAATTATGAAGAAATTGATTTGTGTTGACTGTGTTGTATGTTGCATGGATCAGCAGTATGTTTGTTCATGTGCATTGTTGGTATGTGAATTGAGTAGTTGTTTAGTGTTGGGTGTGTTGGGTGATGACGGTGCTGAGTGTGATTCTGATGATGAACATTAACTGTGTCAAATGCTGGCTGGTACATCGATCTTATGACGATCCACATCCTCGCATCTGTATCGGAGTCACCTTGATTGTCTGTCGATGTTACTGCCCAAATATGTGAAGGTGCTTACTTCTTCCAAAGCTTCTCCATGAAGTATGATTTGGTTGGCGCATGTTGTGTTGTATCGGAGAATGTTGCTTTTTCCTTTATGTATGTTGAGACCTTCTGCTGCTGAGGCTGCTGCTACACTGGTCTTCTTCTCCTGAATTTGCTGTTACGTGTGCGATAGAAGAGCCAGATCATCTGCGAAGTCTAGATTGTTTAGCTGCATCATAGTGTTGTAACGCTATGCTTGTTTAGATAATTCCCAGCTAAATCCTATTGCTTAGTATTCTCTGACCACAATACACTGGACAAGTTCCAAAGGATCAAAAACGCGGTTGAACAGGAAAAGATTATATTCCAAATAACAAGGTTAAATGGAAATAAGAAGCCGAAGGCGAACGCAAAACAGAAACAACGTTAGTCTCTTTATAGTATTTACATGAGAAGCTTCTGGATAGAAATCCACGTGATCGACTGGATTAGATTTAACCAATCAGCATGCAGCTAAAAGTACGAGAATTTTCTACCCTGTTCTCCAAGATTCGATCAGGCGCTGATTGGATAGGAAATTAGCCAATCAGCGCGTTGCAACGTAGTCATGCTTTAATTCATCTATGTCCCACTAAAACATAGCTATCCAGTGTTTCTCGTACTTCATAATCTAGTTGATCACCGGGTGAAAGATAACGTATCCACCTAGTTACTGCCGGTCCCAAGCCCGGATAAAAAGGAGGTTGGTTGGACCATGGGGGTTGGCCACCCCATCCCATAAAAAAAACTAACTCATTTAAAGGATGCGAACCAGGAAAATCAATCCACCACCTCTGTTAATATCATAAAATGTGTTCAATCGAATGAGAGAGAGAGAGAGAGAATGTGAACTCACCGTGCTAATTTGACAGTCGTCCAGTTTTCAAATTGATGATGATGATCTATAGTCATCCCACATTTGATTGTTCATTCTAATCTGGTTTTCTTTTCTTTTTTCTCCGAAAAAACTCTATTTATATACAGTGTACCATTATTGAAAGATTTATCACCTAATCGAATATTACGTATAGCTGATGCTTTAGAAGCACAATATCATTCAGCTGGTGATTGTATCATAAGACAAGGTGAATTGGCTGATAGTTTCTTTTTGATTCAATCTGGAAAAGTAAGAATAAGAGTTTTTGTTGTTAAGTTACACATTTTTTGAAACCATGAATCGATCAATGTTAGTAGACCACCAACATCAGAAACCTGGAAGAAGCACTGAAAGACAGCTGTTTTGTCCTGGTATGGGACTCATCAGTGGCAGTGCGCATGCATCCATGACTCCTGCGCCCCGCAGGATTCGAATCCAGGACTTTCTGTATTGTGCGCGAACGCCTAACCATCGGACCACTGGGCCGGATATCTAATGGTGTTAATGTCTAACTTGACGAAACGGCCGTCCTGTGCTTCTTCCAGGTATTTAATGGTGATCTAATATTGATCGATTCATAGTTTCAAAAATGTGTAATTTTGTTTTTGTTTCCGGAAACTTTTTACAGTGTTTTTTCATTATGCGTCGTAATGGTTGTAGAGATTCACATGTCATCATTTTATTGAAAGTAGATGAATCAATTCGAAGTTATTATAGACAATTATTGTCCCATTGTGGAACTTATCAATAGTGAGAATCTATTGTGGTGTACGCTACTTATGTTCACATAAGTAGTATATGATATCAAATGGAAATCAAACGTCTGACAGCAAAAGATCGAGAAGGAAAAAAATGAGAACAGAAGGCGATTTATAGGTGACGTAAAGTGAACTGAAGTCTGAACAGTCCTAAATGAAAGAACACTGAAATTTGAAACAAATAAGGATTAGTTTGCAAATGATGATTCACGGGAAGGTTTTGTAAATATGCCTAACAATTCTGTAATGTTCGCTTAAATATATTGTTGATGTCCTCACCTGAGTTCTCGAGCACAACACTATTATCTCGTAACCAGAACCTTTGATTCGGCGCATGATGAACACACTTAGACTTTTGGCTCGACTACGTCACTGTCTTGTCGTGTGTCGATTTACTGTGTGTTCGTAATCTTTCGTAATTTAGCTCTTCCAGACAATTTATACAAAGTAGGGTCTGACGGTTTATAAATCAGAAGATGAACTCGTAGTGATGATGAATACGTTTGTTTGGGACACACCACAAAGCGAAGCGAAGAAGCAACGACTAAAACAAATGAAGCGACGTGAATTGAACAAGGCTGTTGAGCCAATTTCCAGGAAGCGACCGAACAATTCAACAAGCATTCGATTCAAGCGTTATGTCCTCCTAGAAGCGTTTATACTCTGATACACACAGGAGAGAATTTTTTTCTTGATCTAGTTAAAAGACTTTGACATGATAGGTGATCTAGTTAACCTTGAGACTAACAGCAGTGCGTGAGTTCGGCTATGACTAAATGGCTTTTGGCAGAGTGAAGAAAACTATTCGATCACCGGATAGACTGGCAAGCGAACACTACTTGATTCATTGCTAATTTGGTTAACGAAAAAAGACACATGAATAAATATATTCAGAACAAGATTGAAGGTTCTGGGTTTGAACATCGATGCGTACTGCTGATGAGTCCCATACCGAGACGAAACGGCGGTTTTCCAGTGCTTCCGTGTTTCTAATGGTGGTTTAATAACAGTGATTCACTCGATATCAATGTGTCTAAACTAGGCATTTAGAGTAGTAGAATAAAGTACGACAGGTTCCATTTGAATTACATTAATTTCTGAATCATACTAGATCAAACGTAAGCTTTCAATTGATAGAATAAATCAGTGGATGAAAAATCAAATCTTTGCATTTTATAAACTTCGAATTCAGTGTAACAATATGTTGGGGATGTTAGATCCCCAGAACTCGCTTGATAAATATCTTTATTTTGGATTTATTTCATGGACCGATCAGTTGACCTTGAGACCACATTTCCCACCAGGAAAATCCTTGGTTGTGATTGGTTACAGTGTCATTTTAGTTTGCTGTTTTTGTGACTGTCCCAAGCACATCTCTGTAGAATATAAATAAACGCAACTTGAGTGTTTGGATTGTGTTAGGATATTCATCCAATATCCTAAGAGAATTATTGGTCAATTCCTATTGGTTAGTTCCTACTGATCAATTTTATGGTCGTCCTAGATATCAATGTCACGTGCTTCAATGTTGCTTCCTATTGGTCGTCTTAACTGTCAATGTCACAGACTTCGATGCTGTTTCCTATTCGACCTAAATGTATAAATACGCATTATCTGTAACTTCTTATGACCAGGACCAGGACCCGGTCCTGGATCCTCAGTTTGGGAACCTGATTCTCTTCTGGACTTGGACCTCGTACTTTCTGGATGCTTGTAGAATACAGGTGCTACTTCACACTCAAATCTTCTTATTTTTACTCTATATGGGGGTTAGGATAATCGGATCTGAGTAGCATGTCGTGTCGCCATGTCTTAGATCTTCGCTCTCGTTCTCCGACTGGGTAAACTCGTAATAGTTCAAGCATATCAAAATCACGTGTTTATGTGCAGGTGTAACAGATTAATTGTGTGCTGGCTGGGTGTTTGTAGAATGCAATTCCTACACTATATCAAGACTTCTTACTGATTTGATTTGGTCAAGGAATCACAGTAGCCTACCTGGACCGTTGGTTCATTGTTTTGTTCTCGTTATTCGTCTAAAGTGAACTCGTAATAGTGTAAGCGCATATCTAGTGACGAGCGTAACACAATATTCGCCAACTAAGCTTTCATTGTTTCTTGACATATATAGAGTTGTTTTATTTCCCTTCTCACATTTTATCATAAATAATCTTATGACTGCTGTTTTATTATTGGTTACATTCTATATATTCTTTGTTTTTTCAAAGGTTCGTGTCACTATTTCTTCACCTCAAAATAATGGTTCCAATGAGACTAAAGAAACTGAAATTCGACAATTAACTAAAGGTGAATATTTCGGTGAGAAAGCATTACTTGGTGAAGGTCGTCGTACAGCGAATGTATACGCTGTTGGTCCTGGCGGTGTTGAAGTGTTATGTTTATATCGAAAGTAAGTTGATTTTTAATGCCATGAACTAGTTTTCATTTGATGCTCAGATTGATATATGTATGGTTCTTCACTAGGTAGGTACGCTTGAAGAAGCTATTACGAGTTCACCTTAGTCGTCGATAAACGCGAACGAGACAATGAACCAGCGTCCAAGTAGGCTACCTTGAATCCCAAGCTGTAAACAGAAGTCTTGGTAAGCGTAGAAAGTATATTCTACAAACACCCAGCAATCACAGTACAAATCAAGCATACAACTCTCGTTTATTTATTATACATCATAGAAACGTCCTTGGGATAGTTAAGAAAATAGCACAATAAAATACACAGCAGCCAATCACAGCGCTGGATTTTCCTGGTGTGAAATGAAATCTCAAGGTCAACTGATCATCTCATGCTTGCAAATGTGAAATCGAAAAATTAAGGCATTTATCAAGAGAGTTTTGGGGATCTAACATCCCCAACAATATGATTGATCACTGGAGCTTGAAAGTTTTGTATCGGGGTTTGCTGTATACATTTGAGTTGTTTCGTAATTTCTTTATGTCAGTTATACAGTGCAATACTTGTTCTACACAGTATCATTCTGATAGGTGTTAAGATTTGTATTACCGAGTGAAACCTTTAACTAATCACTGATAATATATGCAAAATGTGGCTTATAGAAGTCTGTTAATTGTGTAGATATCATAAAACCAGGAGACCATTTATTTGCTTACTTACTTACGCCTGTTACCCCTAGTGCAGCAGCATAGGCCATCGGCCAGCATTCTCCAACCTACTGTGTCCTCAAATTTCAAGTTTTGTTCATTCTTCTCATGTCTGTCTTCATTTCTCGGCGTAATGTGTTCCTTGGCCTTCCTCTTTTCCTTTCACACTGAGGCTTCTATATGGCGACTTCTCGTGTGATGCATTTGGGGGATTTCCTCAATGTGTATCCTATCCACTTTTAACGCTTTCTCCTAATTTCTTTCTCATTTGAAATCTGGTTTATTCTCACCCACAGTAGATTTTTGCTGACAGTGTCTGGTCAATGGATCTGAAGTATTTTGCATAGACAACTGTTGATCAACACTTGTATCTTCTAGATGATGGCGTTGGTATTTCTGCAAGTTTCGGCTCCATACAGTAGAACTGTCTTGACATTTGTATTGGAAATAGTGACTTTTGGTGTTTGTTGACAGTTGTTTTGAGTTGAAGATGTTGTTAAGTTGTAGAAATGCAGCCCTTGCTTTGCCGATCCGCGCCCTCACATCTGCATCGGATCCACCTTGATTGTAGTTGATGCTGCCCAAATATGAAGGTGGTAACGTCCTCCAAGGCATCCCCATCAAGAGTGATTTGGTTGTTGCATGTTGTGTTGCATCGGAGAATTTCGCTTTTCCCTTTATGTATGTTGAGACCTTCTGCTGCTGAGGCTGCTGCTACACTGGTCTTCTTTTCCTGAACTTGCTTTTACGTGAGACAGAATAGCCAGATCATCTGCAAAGTCTAGATCGTTTAGCTGTATCCTAGCTGCCCACTATTTCTCGTTCTTCTCCCCAGATGTTGACGTCTTCATAATCCAGTCGATCACCACCAAGAGAAAAAGAAAACAGGTGTTAGTACTCAACCTTACGTGACACCGGTCATTTCATGTATACAACCAGTTTTGTAATTTAGTTTAAATTGTCAATGAATTTATGTATTTATTTATATTTGTATATTTTAGAGATTTTCTAGAATTAATTGGTGATATACAAGAGCTGAAAAATAAAGAATATACAGATGAAGAAACACGTCTATTAAGTCATAGGTGAGTGAATGAATGAGTGGTGGTCATACAGTGAAAAGAGATATTTGTCAATCATTCAAAAATTTTTTTGCAATTTCGAGTTATGTATAGATGAGTGTTTTTACACATTTTTGAAATCATCAATCAATCATTGTTAGACCACCAGCGTTAGAAGAAACCTGGAAGAAGCACTGGACGTCCGTTTCGTTCTAGTACGGGACTCGTCAGCAATGCGCATGCACGATTCCTGCATCTCACAGGATTCGAACCCGGGACCTTCATTGTTTCAGTTGTTCACATTCGTTCAATGTTCAATGAAAATTTAAATTGTGGCGTTGGTCACTTGTTTAAAACAAAAGTACAATACCATATGCAATTTGTGTTCTGTGGTTGTGTATGTGTATGTATCTGTCAGGCATAGCGTGCTTTCAACCTTGAAGAGGGACTTTTATTCACAATGCCTTTTAAAATCATATTCATTACTAAGCTTCACTATATGAGGAAAGCTATCATCAAGTTGTTTTCGGACTTTTTAAAAATACACACACCCGACCAAATGGAGAAAGCATATATTACATTTGTACTCGGATTGTTAGTTTTAGCAGTCAATCATTTTTTTATTATTCTTCCCCCACGCAATGAATAATTGATAACTTATTGATTTCATATCAATCCAATTGTAAAGAAAGCTATTACATTACTTTGGTAGGTGTACTAGTGTGTCAAGCGGTGAGTACAGACATACACGCATACACATACACTTATTCCTATCTCTTACTGTGTGACAAGAAAGACATTAATTAAGAAGGCTGTTAGAATGGCTGTATAGAAAACTAGTCTCCTTTAGTTTTTAGCTTATGCTCTATGTGTGGATATTCAATGTTATTCTGTGACAAATACTGGGATATTTAGACAGTTATTCAAGATACAATGTCTTAAAATCAGTTTAATGTAGAATAGATAGAATGTGGCTATGAGATGAATCAAGAATGAACGGTTTCATCCTGTTTTGGAATTGTTAGCTGGATGCATCCTAGAGTTGAAGTCTACTCCGGCACTGGAACTCAGTACCGTTTACTTGAAACATTTAGCTCAGGAGTCCGAAATAAGAGAGGAAACACTCTTTTTCAAATAAGAATAGTTTGAGCTTTAAAAATCTCATACTTCACTTTATCCTACAGATTCATGTCATCAGTGGTAAGAGGTTATTAGCATGGAGCTGACGTATCGAAAATTTCTTGTAAAAAGCAGTTCGTGTGTGACTGACTGACCAGCTGGAAGCATTTGTTCCTTGAACATTGCTGTCAGACTCATGGATCTTCATGACTGCTTCCACGACTCCTGCACGCAGGAATCGCGGACTGGTCGAAGTTAGACATTAACACTGTTGAGTCCACGCGTTCATGCATGTGTTCGATTCTTGCTTGTCAGGATGTGAATATGCACTGCTAATGAGTCCGATACTGGGACGAAACAGACATCCATTGTTTCCAAGTTTCTGATGGCATTCTAACATTTTCAGTTCGTGATTACACTATTTTAAAGTTGCGTAATTATTAGAAATCAACAGTTGAAAAAAAAGTTATCGACTAGTTTACATCTGGAATTCACATTGATTTGTGTGAATGTGTTCATGAAAATATTAGTTTATTTCTTATATCATTGCGGGGTTGTTGTGAAGATTGTTAAGTTTTATTTGTAACCATGAATCAATCATTGTTAGACCACCATTAGAAACCTGAAAGAAGCACTGAAAGACGGCCGTTTCGTCCTGGTATGGGTTCGAATCTTGCGGGGTGCAGGAGTCGTGGATGCGCACTGCTGATGAATTCCATACCAGGACGAAACGGCCGTCTTTCAGTGCTTCTTCCAGGTTTCTAATGGTGTTGGTCTAACATTGATCGATTCATGGTTACAAGTAAAATATCTCTAATATGCTGATTTTAGATCGATAGGCATTGGAAACTAGTGAATTCTGGGCAGCTATTTCATTTAGTAACGTACATGGAAATTCACAGACCTTCGAGAATTCGCATCATTGAGTTGATATCCAATAGTTTACAGTTCTACATACCTCCTATTGTGATGGGTACTACTCATAAAATGATACTAAGTAGTATGCAGCGACGTGTCGCCTAGATGTTGTTATCTGCATGGTTCGATCAGAGTGTATTGAAGATCAGAAGAGATATGGTAGAAATCAGTGAATATCCTGTCGGTATTGCAAACAGATGACTGTAGACATTTTTCCCTTTCATTGAACTTTTGTTGATCATAGTTAAATTAAATGAATACTCGGAGCTATATTTTTTCACATAATGCTTCAGTCATTCAGCTACAACGTAGAAATCGGTACGTACATACATCAGTTCAAGTTGCCAAACCACAATATTAGTACAGAGAGATAGAATTGTCAATTCAAATCCAATTGTCGTAGAGCTAGTCAAAGTATTAATGGTAGTCAAAAAGATTCGAGTTGGAAGATATCATTCAGGAAGTGTATCCAAGTTAAATAAATTTACAAAGAGAAGTGGTTTAGTTACTCCTAGCTTGTCCCAGCCTTCCTCTGCTTCACAAAACATCGTTCGTCGAAACAGCCGGTGTTCAGGCATATGTAATACATGTCTCAACCACGTCAATTGATAAAGACTCACTACTCCACTAATGATTTGCTATCCTCACCTAGAGTAGTACCCTTTTCCTAACCCCAGGACTACTTACTCGATCGCCGCGGGATATACGAACAATGCTTCGAAGACACCCATGATCGAATATTATTAACTACTAATATCCTCTATTTCTAATGATAATGTTTCTCACTCGTAAAGTACAATGGCGAGAACTTCTGCAAAGTAGACTCTCTCTTTGGTTAGCAGATGGTTATCTCGCCTTCACCATAAGTATCTGTGTTGAGGTTTCGTTGGTTACCAGGCCATCAGGACTGATGAGACTCTCAAGATAAGTGAAGCGCTCAACTTCTTAACTCCTTATCACTAGTTCAGATGCCAGCGGTAGCCAATCCTTAAGCGACATTTTGCAATTCGGGGGATAGAATCGCATTCTGAACATGGTTGCATTGTTGCTTAGGCTAGTCAGAAGACTTTTCTGTTGAGGATGTCAGATCCCCAGAACTCACTTGATAAATATCTTTATTTTGGATTTATTTCATGGACCGATCAGTTGACCTTGAGATCACATTCTCCCAAATTGTTACGCTCGTCTCTAGGTATGCGCTTAAACTATTACGAGTTCACCTTAGTCGAATAACGAGAACAAAACAATGAACCAGCGTCCAGGTAGGCTACTTTGATCCCTTGACCAAATTGTATCAGTAAGAAGTCTTGATATAATGTAGAAATTGTATTCTACAAACACCTAGCCAGCAGCACACAAAATGAATCCAAGCACTCAAATTGCATTTATTTATACTCTATAGAGACGTCGTTGGGACAGTCACAAAAAATAGCACACTAAAATGACACAGTAACCACCAATCACAGCCACGGATTTTCCTGGTGGGGAATGTGATCTCAAGGTCAACTGATCGGCGCATGAAATAAATCGAAAATAAAGATATTTGCATTTTGTCAGCGTCTTCACCTAGTAGACCTATGTTATCGGCATATTCTAAGTCGAGAAATGAATCCTCGGGCAAAAAGCCTAACTCCTAGAAAGTCAGATGATGAACGTATCGTCTATAAAGGCGCATGTATTGTGAATAAAGTTAAACAAGGCATGGAGAAAGTTTACTCATGAACTGAATTCAAACTTGAAAGCTTGATGAATCAGGTTATTCCATCTATTACATCTTTCAAGAATTCATCTCTTTGTTTTTTATTCTGTTCTTTTATTTTACAGTTCATTTTCACAAGATTCCTCTTCTTCAATGATTATCAGTGGCAGTAGTGCAAAAGATACCGATACTGGATCAAATGGTGTTGTATCCACAACTAAAAGTCAACATGAATTAAATACTACACCTAATAATGCAACATTTAATTATGTTAATCAATCTCTATTACCGGCAAATTTATTAATACAACCTAAAAATCAATGTAATATACAATTGAAAGATTTAGAACGTATTTGTGTATTAGGTGTTGGTGGATTTGGACGAGTGGATTTAGTAAGTATTTGAGTAGTTTATATGGATCTATGTATCTATGTATATAACTTGTTTATTAGTGAAATCATGAATCAGTTAGTCATTGTTAGATCACCAACCTGTGGAAGCACTGGACACATCTGTTTCGTCCTGTGATGGGGACTCATCAGTGGCAGTACGCATCCACAGCTGCCGCCAGTCGCAGGGATCGAATACATGGGACCTTCGGTTTTGCACGCGAACGCCTAACCTCTAAAGCATGGAGCCATCCGGCATCCAAGGGTGTTGATGTCTAACTTTGATCAATTTCAGCGTTTTGCTCAACCTCAGTCATTGTGTTTAGTGCGTGTTCTAAAGCTCGGTAATTAGCTCATCCAGACAATCATTACAAAGTAGGATCTGACGGTTTATAAATCAGAAGGCGAACTCGTAGTGATGAATACGTTTATTTTGGGACACACCACAAAGCGAAGCGGAGAAGCACTGAATAAAACGAATGAAGTGACGTGAACTGGAGAAGGCTGTTGAGCCAAATCCAAGAGATAGAACGTGGCTAAGACTATATAGTCAGACAAAAACAAGACAGACATATGACAAGCGAAATAGGCGTGCACACACATGAGTAAAAAGCGACGAATGATTGACATGGTCAAAAGCAAGCGAGACAAGTCATGTGAGTTCATGGGGATATCAAGAGATTAACATTAAAGCGAAAAGAATGAGTAAGCGTGTGGGCGTAAGCAATGCTCAGTCGTGCAAGCTCATATAAACCGGATAATAAAAAAATACCAATGGTACATATAGGTTGTTGCTATACAAATAGCTTGGTTACATAAGTTAATCGAAAGGAGTTATCAAATTAATTATGAGCGGACTCAAGTTTATATGGAGGCACTACAACAATATGGTAAAACGATAATTAAATTGATGTGGGTGATGACCGAGTTTATGCTACCATTGAATTAGATACTTGAACAGTGGTACACTACACAAAGACTAGATCACATCTTACAATACCATACAAAATTCATGACCAAAATAGAGAATTAGAGTAAGCGATAAACAATACATTATTTCATACAATCACAAACAGTTACTGTCAGTGAGTTCGGAGTAAAAATCAATAAGAGATGGGCAGTAGTTTCAGTGCCGATTCGTTCACGCTCAATGATCAATCACTCTATCCTGACTCCAATGGTTCTGGAGGTTTTGTATTTTCTGAGTCTTGTTGGTAGATGAAGACGGTCTGGTTGGGGTCCGCGAAACCGATGGTTAGAGACTTTCAGTGACATGGTTCAAAATCGTTCGCAATGGTGCAGGTGCATTCATACTTTGTGTTCTTTCTGGTTCTAAATCTTCCGAATTGCTCATCGCCTATATCTATCTTTTCCGAAATTTATTTCATTGGATTTTACTTCTTGAGCAATTTCTTCGAACCCTTATCTTCTTCATTACTGCTAATCCTTCTACTATGGAATTTGAATTGACAATTCGATCTCTCTGTTCTAATGTTGTGGTATGGCAACATGAACTCATGTACGTACATACGTAGTTCTACGTTGTAACTGACTGACTGAGGCTGTCAATTGCAGTTCATAACATTAACCGTTGGGAAGATGTAAATAACTCATACAACGGATATTCTTTGATTTTTATATTTTTACACATTTGAAATCAATAAATCAATCATTGTTAGACTACAATTAGAAACCTGGAAGCACTGGGCGGCCGTTTCGTCCTAGTATGGGACTCATTAGTGGCAGTGAGCACCCACGACTCCTGCACCTCGCAGGGTTTGAACCCGGAATCTTCGTTATTGTGCGCGAGCGCCTAACCGTCGGATCACTGGGCTGGCATTCAACGGTGTTAATGTCTAACTCTGATTGATCTACGGATTTTGCGCAAACCCACCCATTTGTCCTTCGGTAGTTACTGCCTACACCCAACAGGGTTGAACTCCATTTGTCACGTCTTCTCATCACTAGAACTCCGAGAATTTCCTCACGAAGAAGCTAGTCACTAGTCAGCACATTTTACGATATTTTCAGTTAGAGTTTTGGAAATTTGTGTTTTTACATATTTGAAATCATCGTGGATGCGCACTGCCACTGATGAGTAGTCCCATACCAGGACGAAACGGTCGTCTTTCAGTGCTTCCAGGTTTCTACTAATGGGGGTCTAACAATGATTGATTGATGATATCAAATGTGTAGAAAACACACAAATCTCCATAACTCTAACTGAAAATTTTTATCCTTGTTTATTTTCCCTGCGTCCATTTATTATATATCAAGAAGAGTGATTGATATTGACCGATACATAACATAAATGATATTTATTTCCTTGCATAGAATCACTTTCATTTCAAACCTTTTTATTTTCATTCTGGACATAGAAAGCGAGAAAGAGTAGGTAGGTAGGTAGCTAGCTAGCTATAAACACAATAGCCAAAAACTATTTAAAATAGAAGGAATTTTAATCATACTTATTATGAAACATTGTCGATCAAAACTGCATCAAACACACACTGAATAGCAGTTGATTTGTGTGTGTGCTTGCGTGTATGTGTGTGTGTGCGTGCGTATGTAATTGACACCAGTTTCCGTTACACATAATCCTTTCATATTCATTCTCCTCATCTTTCTTTCCATTGTTCAACTCATTTACAATCATAAATGAATAGGAGAATTACTGACTGATATAAACTTTTTTTTTCGCTGTTAATTTAAATTCTGTACCTCAGTGTGTGTGTGCGTGTGTGTGTATGAATGTGTCTATTTACTTGTTTATGATTTATTTTATGATTGATTGTGTTTTTTTCCTGATTTTTAATCATTTGGGTAAAGTGAAAATCCTTCTTTGTGTGTGTGCGCATGGGTGCGTGTGTTTGCATGTGCACATATATATCTGTTGACAAGTTATGTCATCAGCCGATAGTTGTTATTTTAGCTTAGAAATATGATATTATGGGGTTTTGAAGATGGTTACGTTACACGTTTTTGAAATGATGAATTGATCAAAGTTGTTAGACTGCCACCATTAGAAAGCTGGAAGAAGCACTGACAGACGGCTGTTTTGTCCTAGTATGGGACTCATCAGTGGCAGTGCGCATCCATGATATATAAATTACACTAGTGATATGATGGGATTATCAGGGGTTGTAGGCAGGATTTGATTATGACCGATTTGGTCTTGCGTGCTGTTACTGGTTGTCACTTCCCGGCTGCCCATACCGTGGAAGGTTGTTTCTTGAGGAACCTGAAAAGAAAAGTAGATTAGTGTTGGTCTTAACGACCTGGGAGCGTGACCGCAGAGTCCAAGGGACAACTGCTTCAAGCCGGTCACTCACCGCCTTTTTATGAAAAGTTTTTTGAGTATTGGCTCTGCTCTTAAAAGCCGTTCGTGGGGACCGTTACCGCCAGAGACGGAAATCCGTGAGGTAAGGTGAGGTGTGACATTTTTAGGGTCGACCTTTTCCAGCCCTTCTTTCCTTGTGAGAAGGCAGCATCGCTGCAGATGCTGGTTGTCCGAGGGAAACACCTTACTGTTGTCACACCCTTCTGCAGCGACCAGTACGACTTCGCCCTCAGACCTTGGGTAGCTGCTTTTAGTTTCATCGTTCTCCAATCGACCTGTCTGGCATGGTAGAACCTTCATGAACATATGTTCCAACCAGTATAGCTCAGTTGGGTCATGACGATTGTCAAGCCCGACCACCACGTCAAGGTAGCAGCTTCGGTCGGGGAAGCCGACTCCTTGAACGGGAATCGAACCCGAGCATTCCACGTGACAGGCCCAGATACTCACCACTATACGTACGAAGTTCTGTGTTGTATCTGTCTGTCTGTCTATGATGGGATTATCACTTGCAAATGCATAAGGTATGCATATATTCAACGAGCTATGTTTCGTGGTGTATAGGAGTTAGTTAGAAGTAAACTAGAAGTGGCTAAACCAAAACATGAGACAAATCCATAAAGTCACTGACAACTGGATCCCAACTGTGTTAGTAG